AGCCCCTGCTCTGTGTGTGTTTATTTCTGTATTTCAAGGCCTGAAGTTCCCGTCTGGGGGAAGAGCCGCGTCCGCAGGGCCCGGGGCAGCGCTGGGTGCCCCTCTCACAGCTTCCTGGAAGGTTTTATTGCTCTGTTTGCACAGGCTGTGGCAGGAAGGGTTCTTGTGGCCTGGCTGTGTCCTGACTGCACCTCCCTCAACAGTGAGGGGAAGCAGGAGCAGCAGGAGCTGCAGCCCTGGCAGCCGCTCGCCCCGGTTGCTTTCTGCAGGACCTGGCTGTGGGATGTGGGGCTCCTGGACTTGCAGGCACGGGAAGTCACTCACTGCTCCTGAAAACACGGGCCAAACAAAAATAAATCCTACCCCCGGCCATAGGTGCTTGTGCTTTTAATTTCCAGCACGGGCGCTGCAGGGAGCAGGGAGGTGTTTCCTGCTCCACCAGCAGCCTGCAAAGCACCTGGGTGCTGGCAGCCCTGGCTGGGGGGGGTGTGATACCCCCACCTTGAGCACCATGTGGTCCTTGGCGTGCCCACCAGGATGGCAGCACCCGGCAGGGTCTGCAGGTCATCTCCGAGGGCTGACATGGTGCCTCTGCAAGCTGGTGGGGAGGAACACTGATTTTATTGAAGGAAAAAAAAAAAAAAAGAAAGAAAAAAGGCAATGTCTGCCATTTCCAAGCCTGGTTTCTATGGGAACGGGACATCAGAGGAGCAGAAATGCAGCGAGTGCTCTAAAATAACTGCCAGCTCTGGGAGCACGTGGCCTTTGCTCGGCTCGCCCAGCCCTTTCCGCTGAGATGGCAGCTGGGGATGGCTGGTTCCTGGGGATGAGGTGGCCTGGAAGTGGCTCAGGAGGTGGGATGCTGCAGCTCCATCCCTGTGGATCCTCAGCCTGTCCTCACCTAAGCCCACTGGCTGGAGACCTCCGGTCCATCTGGCAGCTGGCACAGCCACCCTGTTATCCAGCAGGGCTCACCAGCATGGCAGGGGCTGTGGCACCAGTGGGGACCTGTCTGGTGCCCACCCACCTGTGTTGTGGGCAGGCAGGAGGGCCTCCTTCCTCCCTCACCCCCCAGGGAACAGCCAGGGTGAATCCACACTCACCAATTTCATACTGTTCCTCCTGTGGCGGGTGGGTGTGGAGAGCAGGGTATTTCCAGCAATGGGAAGAGGAACTGGGGTGTTTTCCCAGACACTGGTGGTGGTCGTCTCTCTCTTCCCCCACATCTTTGTCTGTACCTCTTGCTGGGAAGGTCAGTCCCACCTGGCAGCATGTAGTGCTGAGGCTGGGCAGGAGAGCAGGTCTGGAGGGGACAACCCAACCTGCCACCACACGAGCATTGTGGAGGGTCCTGCAAGGTACCAGCTTGAAAGGTGACCACTGGCCAAAGGTGCTCCCAGACATGGGCAGGGGGCCCTGAACTGCCAGTGGTCACAGGCATCTCGGGGCTAATCCATACAGCACTTTCCAGAGAGGGTTTTCCCTTCTGTGTTGGAAAAAAAATAATTGCTGTGCATACCCAGAGCTTGGAAAGCATTTTTTGCTCTCAAATCTGGTAAGAGTAGCCCTGTGCTAACTGAGCTGCTTCCTTCTCTCATTCTCCAGCAGGTGAAAGGTCCAGTCCAGGTTTTCTTGGGACCCTTAAAAGCTTGGAAAAAACTTGTTGGCAATGCTGAAGTTTTCCCCCGTTGTGTAGTGTTTGTGTTACCCAAGAGCTGCTTGACATTTTCCCAGCCCTGGCGGCAGCCACAGGTCCTTGGTGGGTGCTTGGGGGGGTCCAACTTGTGTTTGAGGGTGAGGCAGGGCCAGCAGCCAGGAAGGACACGGAGGTGGGAGCTCCGTGAGGGCACCAGCCTTCTCCAGCCTGACCTGTTGCCTTTTCTTCCTTAAAACCAGCAAAAAAAAATCCATTCCTTTGATTTGCTCTAGTTTCCTCTGCCAGCGAGCACGGGAGGAAGGTTTCTGCTCCTGGGGGGCTCCTTTGGAGCGAGCGGTACGTGGGTGTGGGGGTCAGGGGATGTCCCAGCTTTGTTTGGGGCAGGTGGGTGGTTCTGCCCTGGCACAGCTGGAGATGTGGTGCTTTGTGAGGAGCTTGGAGGTGCTTAAGCTGGAACTGGCAGCAGTTGCCTTTGCTAGTTCCCCTCGGCTGTTCCTTCTCCGCTTGCTGCTTGGGGGGGATCTGAGGGGCTTTTCTGGGGTATCCTAGTGGGCTTCTCAGAGCTGCAGGAGTGGACCTCTTCTGCTTTTTTGCTGGCTCCCAGACCAGGATGCTCAAGCAGGTTCTTGCTGTCCTGGAAAGCTGCCTTCTGCACATGGAGTGGCAAAAAGATGGGTGTTTTTTTTGCTCTGAGAATGCATTTGGATTTGGGGTTGGGAATGGGAAGGTGTGTGCCAAGCCAGGAGCAAGCTTCTGGAGGGCTCCAGGATCTAGCTGGGTGGGTTAGGTGGGTAGATGGATGCTTTGCCCACAGACCTCCGTGGATTCTAGCTCGTGCTGCAGCTTGGTTGCTCCCAGCTGTGGGTGTTCTGCTCATGATGTGCATTTACCAGGCACTGGTCTGGAGATGAGGGTCAGGCAGGCAGGGTCACCAGCCCCTCTCCTCTCACTTTAGCACCCCAAGCCCTCTGCTGAGGTTGGTGGGTGCCAGCTGGTTGGTTCCAGGGAGCTGATACCATCCTGACCAGGGCTGAGAATGCGCTGTTGAGCATCTCCCAGGGCATTGCTGGTGGGTGATCATAGAATCATAGAACTATTCAGGTTGGAAAAGACCCTTGGAATCACCAAGTCCAACAATGACGTGTCCGTCTTTGTCTCTGCAGCAGCTCTTGGTGCTGCCAGGGCTTTGGAGCACAGGCTCTGGGAGATGAACCTGTTTGGTTTTTAATTCTGGGGCTGCTGGGCTGGGTCTGCCCTGCACCTGCAGCGTGGGCAGGTGGCTCTGCCTGTGCCGGGGCCACCCCTTCCCTGTGCCAGGGCCACCTCTTCCCTGTGTCAGGGCAACCTGTGCCACACTGCTAGGTGACTCTGCGTGCCCCCGGGGGACAGTGATGCTTCCTCAGGGAACACCCCTGCAAATGGAGACAGAAAGACCTTGAAGGGACAGCAGGCCCTTCCCAAAAGGGAGAGGACGTGGGTGCATCGTCCTCGAGTGCCGACCTTCCCTTCCGCTTCCCTGCCCTTTTCCCACCCTCGCCTCTCCAAGGAGATCTTGTGCTGGGAAAGCACCTCTGGCATTGCAAAACCAGCCCCTTCACGGCACAGGAGTTGGTGGCACAGCTTGAAATCTTCACCAGTCCCAAAATAACAGGCAGAAAAGAGTTTCCTGGCTTTCCTTGGGCTGGCGTTTGCCGTTCTGCAGCCCAGTGCTCCCGCTGCTGAAGGGAAGCTGTTCCCTGCCTGCTGCTGGGGAAGGACCCTGATGCTCACAGGTCAGGATCCTTAATGGCAGCTTCCCAATGACCAGGAATGGGTTGCACCAGAAACCCTGAGGGCTCAGCAAGGACCCTTGGAGAGAGAGCCCCACAGTTATGTTCCCCACTTTGGGCCAAGCCAGTCGTTGCCACATCAGGCTGTGTTGCAGGAGGGGTGGGATGCAGGATGCTGCTCATCTGCAGGCTCATGGCTCTCTCCTCTCTTCCAGGGTCCTGTGGAGCAGTGGTGCTGGTCCCCATCTGATGGAAGGATGGTTGTTCTCAGGCAGTTTGGGCTGTTGCTCTGGAAGAACTACATCCTGCAGGTAGGTGGGTTCCCCACACTTGGGGGTGCTTCTGTCGCCACTAGATGTGGGTACATTAGAGCTTGATTCTCCAGCAAAGCTTCACCACGGGCCCAGGGCATCTCCTGAAGGGAAACAGACTTGTTTGTGCCTGTGGTGTTGTCCTGCTTTTGTGCTGGTGTCACGATTTAGTGGTCAGGGCAAACAAAAAAGCAGAGGACAGAATTGCTCTGTTACCCCCCTCCACTCTCCCAAGGGAAGATAAAAGCAGAATAAGGAAGAGAGACTTGAAGGTTGGAAATTAAAACTGGAACAGGAAAAGGAAATAACACGTGGGATGAGGGACAAATAAACAAAACCCAAATACAAATAAAACCCAGTCTTGTTGATCTTGGAGAGAGGTCTCCAAGGGTTCATTGCAGCAGAGCTGACTCAGGAAAGGGGGTCCACTGCTCTTCCCAGCACCCAGTGGGTTGGGATCCTGCAGAGCACATGGCAACTTGATGGTAAAATAGGAGCCCCTCTCCAAGACCCTGAGAGCAGCAAGGGATAAAGAAGCAGGAAGGCCCAGACTCCTATCCTCCTGGTTTTATGGAGTATGGCAGGAAGTGGGAGGGAATCCTGACCCCTCTTTTCTGACTCTCAGGGTCCTAAACACCCTCTCTCTATGTCCTTGTATTGGGATTGTAAAATCAGCCTTGCCCCCTCAAACCATAACACCCAGGGACAGGCAGGCAGGGCTGTGTGCTCAGTTGTCCCTGTCCCCTCAAATCTGCCCTGTGTTATTCCCTTGCAGCCCAGCTAGGAGCACAGCTCTCCCTTCCTGAGGGATAGGATGACCTGGGTACCCTCCTGTGAGCCTCTGGTGCCTCTAAACCCACCAGGACCCAGATTTTTTCCCTCTTTTACTTTCTACACCCCTGAGAACCAGCTTTTGGGGGGTTTAAAAAACTAAACCATCATTGTTCTGCCACCTGCTCCCAGCTCTGTGTGGCAGCTCAGGGTCTGAGGGACAATTTACAAGGGCATGGAGTGATAGGATGAGGAGGAATGGCTTCAAGCTGAAAGAGGGGAGATTTAGGTGAGATATTAGGAAGAAATTATCTCCTGTATGGGTGGTGAGACCCTGGCCCAGGTTGCCTGGAGAAGCTGTGGCTGCCCCATCCCTGGAAGTGTTGACAGGCAGGTTGGATGGGGCTTGGAGCAACCTGGTCTGGAAAGTGTGAAGGGGATTGGAACCCCCCTGTGGCAGGGAGTTGGAACTGGCTGATGTTGAAGGTCCTTCCAACCAAACTAGTCTGGGATTCTATGATTGCAGGGCTGCCTTGCCCTGCTATGCCTGCCCTCAGTGTGCTGGTGCTGCAGCTCCGCTGGGACCTGGAGCCAGCCCTGGCAGAGAGCAGCGGAAGAGGAGGCAGTGGAGATGGCCACAGCCTGGCTTTTACACTTCCAATTACCCTTCTGCAAATCAGCACGGGCGTTGCTTTAAAAATAAACATAAGGAGGAGGGCAGGGCTGGCTGGGCTGGCAGTGCTGGCCTCAGGAGGGGGAAGGGACCCGCAGCAGGTCTGATTTGCAGCCAGGGGTGTGCTCGGTGGATGTGCGTGGTGGCCAGCCCTGCCAGTCCCCCCTCTGCACCCCAGAGACCTGCAGGGCAATCCCCCATCCCCTCTGCAGGGCAACAGCAGCATCTCCTGGGTGTGCTCTGGGAGAGGGGGCACCTCTTGTCGTGTCTCCCAAGGCCACGAGCTGACTCGGATTACCGTGGGGTGGTACACCCTGGAGTCTCTGCTCCCCTCTGCCAAAAAGCTGCTCCCAGTGGAGACCTGAAGCTCCCAAGGCATCACCACCCTGGTGTTAAGATGGCTGCTGGGGCACGTGGCTTGCTGAAAGCCAGGGCAGCCCTGGCCAGGCGGAGGTGGTGATTATGGATGAGTGTCCCTGTCACCTCTGGAACACGGCAGCTTAAATGACTCCTGTGGCCTGTGAGCCTAGGGAGCCAGGCAGCTGTGCTGGAGACAGCACTGGAGACTGGGAGGGGGTTAATAGGACAGTAAATCAGCCCGAGGCAGCTGCTCCACCAGAGCTGCTCTGTGGAACTGTCAGACATCTGCAGCCTTTTCTTCCATGGGCATGGCCTTTGAGGTGGCTCCTTTGTCCCTGCTGGGGTTGGTTCATCCCTGGCTGTGGTGGGAGGTGGTGGTTCCTCCCAGGGGAAGCCCAGAGGGGGTGTTTGGGCCATGGTGGTGGGTGCTGAGGGCTGGGGTGATGTGGGGAGCAGCTGTGTGGCCAAGCACCCACCTTCTAACAAACCAGCCCACAGCCCCTTCACCCTGGCTGCTGCAGGGTGGCCTGTTGCTCTTCCCTGTAATCTGGGCTCAGGGCCCCCATCCTGCCCCACCAGAGGCTCTGCCTGCCTTGACCTGCTCCACTTGCTGCTTTCCCCCTCCCCATTTAAAAAATATAACCTCTGTGCACTCTGCAGAGTGCAGGTAGAACTCATGGTCAGCACAGCTCAGCGCCTGGTTTGCAGGTGATGGAGCTGGGGTGGTGCCTGCAGCCTGGTGGGAGCAGGCAGGAGAGGAGCTGCTGAGACAGCAGAGGTGGGAGAATAAACCTCCTGGTGCTCCCCTTGGGCATCCTCTTGCTCTTTCCAGCCTGGCAGAGGAGAGGATGGAAAAAAACCCTGGTCTTGTAAAGCAGAGCCCTCAGGAGAAGGGTTAGTGCCTCTGGGTCTGCTCTGGGGACACGCTCCAACTGAGCAGCTCTGTCCCTGTGCTGAGAGCTTCTCCCTGCTGTGGGGACTCCTCACCTCACTGAGGTTCATTGTCTGGTTGCTTGAGCTTTAATTCAAAACAATAAATGAGCTGCTGGGTTTAGTGCAGACAGACCTGAGGTCATGGGGATGTTCTCTGTGCTGTGAGGCACTGATGCCCATAACCAGAGGTTGTGCCAGGTCCCAGGCTGGGACACACATGTCCTGCTCCCTGCAGCCACTGAGCTCTGATGAAAACCCCCACTGGCTGCAGTAGCTTTGGTGTGCTTGGCTTTACCTCCCCCCTGTTCACTCATCCCAGCTTTTCATGGAGGGCCAGGGAAGGTGCTGAGAGGGCTGGAGCAGCTCTGCTCTGGAGCCAGGCTGGGAGAGTTGGGGTGTTCAGCCTGGAGAAGAGAAGGCTCCAGGGAGACCTTAGAGCAGCTTTCAGTGCCTGAAGGGGCTCTAGGAAAGCTGGGGAGGGACTTGGGACAAGGGCAGGGAGGGAGAGGACAAGGGGGGATGGATTAAAACTGGAAGAGGGAGATTGAGGTTGGAGATGAGGAGGAAATTCTTTGGTGTGAGGGTGGTGAGAGCCTGGCCCAGGCTGCCCAGGGAAGCTGTGGCTGCCCCATCCCTGGCAGTGTTGAAGGGCAGGTTGGATGGGGCTTGGAGCAACCTGGGCTGGTTGGAGGTGGCCCTGCCCATGCAGGAGGTTGGAACTGGATGATCTTTAAGGTCCCTTCCAACCCAAACCAGTCTGGAGTTCATTTACCTCCAGTACTTTTAGCTGCCAGCCCTGTAAGTGTTGAACAAGGCTGCTCCACTTTGACAAAACCTGCTCTCTTCTCTCTCCCAGCTGCAGCATCATTCCTGGGCTCTGGAAAAACCCGGGTGGTGAAACCTTGTGAAACACCAGAATGCTTCTGCTACATGTCCTTTGCGTGCCCTGAGCCCCATTACTGCCTGCTCTGCCTTCAGTCTTCCCATCTTATTCCTTACATCTGGTTTTCCCCCCCCGCAGAAGCGGCAGATCCTGGTGACGATCATCGAGGTCTGCCTGCCCCTGCTCTTCGCCGCCATCCTGATCGCGCTGCGGCACCGGGTGCGCTCGGTCGCCCACCCCAACGCCACCATCTACCCCCCAGAGGCCCTGGATGACCTCCCAGCCTTCTTCTCCCGACGGCACCACAGCAACCCCTGGGAACTGGCCTATGTCCCCTCCAACAGCAGCGCCGTCAGGAGCATCGCTGAGGCCGTGGAGAAGGCTTTGCCCATCAACATCCGAGGTGGGCAGGGGCTCTGGCTGCCACCCCAGGGACTGGGATGAGGTTTTTACCCAACTCTCTATTCCTGGGATGCATCCTTTTTTTTTTTTCAGAACTTCCTTCCATTGCCTGGAAGTTCTGAAAGTTTTATTGCTGTTTCACTGTAACTGCAGGGTTTTGATTTGGGTTTTGGATCGTTTTGTTGCGGTTTCCAGCTAGAAAAATACTGCCCTGAAATAGCTAGGGAAGTTGGCTGCCACCTCCCCCAGACAAAGTGGTTTTGGAAATCTTGTTGCACAGAACAGTTTAGAGCTTTGTGTTCCAAACTGAAGATAGCGTTAGGATTTGCTGTGAGAGGAGAGGTGACTGTTGGGGTTGTTCAGCCTGGAGAAGAGAAGGCTCCAGGGAGACCTTAGAGCACCTTCCAGGGCCTGAAGGGGCTCCAGGAAAGCTGGGGAGGGACTTGGGACAAGGGCAGGGAGGGAGACGACAAGGGGGAAGGGGTTAAAACTGGAGGAGGGGAGATTTAGGTGAGACATGAGGAGGAAATTCTTTGGTGTGAGGGTGGTGAGAGCCTGGCCCAGGTTGCCCAGGGAAGCTGTGGCTGCCCCATCCCTGGCAGTGTTGAAGGGCAGGTTGGATGGGGCGTGGAGCAGCCTGGGCTGGTGGGAGGTGTCCCTGCCCATGCAGGGGGTGGGACTGGATGGGCTTTAAGGTCCCTTCCAGTGCAGACCATTCGATGAGTCTATGATTCTATGAGCACCAGCCATGATGAGTTGCTGTTCTCTATGCCTTCATCTCTGCTTTTCCCCCTCCACAGCTCAGGGCTTCTCCTCAGAGCGGGACTTTGAGGAGTACATCCAGTTGGACAACCGCTCGGGC